TTTTTTGGAATTAGTTCAGTTTTATTCTCAGGATTTAAAAAAAATATTGAGAAACTAACTTCTCCTTTTTTTCTGAGAAATATTTTCTGGGACATCAAAAAATGTAAATAAGTTTTATTCAAATTGTAAAAACTGTCAAAAATATATTACTTCGTTGGGGAAAAGGTCGTGTTTTTACCGATCTTTCATAACTTATGTGTAGTAGTCATATAATGCTTGGAGACGGCTTGAATGGGTAATGAAGAAAAACTTTAATATAACTTTAACATAACAGCAAATGTACAACGTTTCGACAAGGTTTTGTCATCATCAGGTCATATGTCAAATTATCAATAATCTGTGAATTTCTCAATATTATTTAATATTCTTCTTCATGTGACCTGGACGAAAAATAAATGTTGCATTTGGTCCTATACACGTTAGAAACAATCACCATACTTGAATGAATTTCCCTGAGTAATATGCCCTCCCCACCCCCCACTACGCTAAAGAACTAGTAACAAACAAACATAAGTAATAATTTTCATAGCGTTTGCAATCGGATTGGTTTGAATTTCGCGCAAAGCTACAACGAGGGCTATCCGCGCTAGCCGTCCCTAATTTAGCAGCGTAAGACTACAGAGAAGGCAGCTAGTCATCACAACCCACCGCCAACTCTTGGGCTACTCTTTTACCAACGAATAGTGGGATTGACCGTCACATTATAACGCCCCCACGGCTGAAAGGGCGAGCATGTTTGATGTGACAGGTATTCGAACCTGCAGATTGCGAGTCGAGCGCCTTAATCACCTGGCCATGCCGGACCCACATGTGTAGGAGAAGTACGTTTCGAATAATAGCGGGCGTTTTTATGTATTTCGCTAACAGTGCTGTAACTAGAAAAAAAACAGCTGATTGACTTGAATATCGAGACTTAATAAACAAAGCGACGTTTTTCAGTCTCGGTCGATTTGTGGAGGGGGGGGGACAATAAAAAACTTTTAGGGCAGATATTAAATAGTATGACATTCTGATCTTGGCAAAAAGGACAGAAACTGCCTTGACTCTAGTCCAACTGACAACCTTAAGGTTCATTTCTTTACTTAACATTTTTAATCAGGAAAAAACCGACAAATGTTTTCTACTGAATTTCTAGCCACCCACTTGTATACAAACAATGAAGATAATTAAATAAGCTAAGTATAGTTCGTGGGACTAACACATTTTTTGAGCCCTGAACGTACACTGAAAGCAGAACTAATTATGTGTAAAACTTTTTCAGTATTTATTCAAATTGGGGATAAAAACTATGCATAAGCAGACGATAAATTAAAGGAAGAAATGAAAACCTGTATAATTGTTTCAAAGTTAACATTTCTACAAAAGAGTCCTTGCCATATTATTGAGACTCTTAGTCTTTTAGATATTACCAACCGTATAAAATATTGTTGGGGGCCTTGCCATATTATTAAGACTCTCAGTCTTTTAGTCATTACCAACCGTATAAATTATTGTTGGGTGGCCTTGCCATATTATTAAGACTGTCAGTCTTTCAGTCATTACCAACCGTATAAAATATTGTTGAGGTCCTTGCCATATTATTAAAACTCTCAGTCTTTTAGTCATTACCAACCGTATAAAATATTGTTGAGGTCCTTGCCATATTATTAAGACTCTCAGTCTTTTTCATATTACCAAGTGCATAAAATATTGTTGGCGTCCTTGCCATATTATTAAGACTCTCAGTCTTTTGGGCATTACCAACTGTATAAAATATTGTTGGTAAAGTTTAAACCACCGACTATGTTATGTTTATATCTTTAACATTTTTTTGTCTTTTAAATTGGATGATGGAAAGAACAGCAACGTACAACTGTAGATTTACGAAACAGATGAACAAAAATTTAAACGAATCAACCTGTTTCTCAACGATTAGTGTACTTTGTTGATAGCTGAAACCTCGGAAGGAAGGAAGAACGTAAAAATTTCAGTGCAGCTGTGAAACATTCAACTTAATGTTTCTGTTTATTTATGTAAATAATACTTATTTCATTAAATAGAATAAGAAAAATGATATATGTTTCTGTGTTTTCTCATATATAGCATTAATTAAAAAGATAATCAGTTCTAAACTTGGGTATTCTGAATTTTGTTGCAGGGGATTTTAATCATGTACGATGTAACGAACATGGATTCGTTTAACCACCTTTCTTATTGGCTTCGAAATGTAGAGGAGGTGAGTGAATTGAATTTCGTTTACTGTAGAGCAATATTAGATACTAAGTGTACCAGTGGCAGCATTGAGATATTGGAAAGCTGGGATTTCAGTGTGGAACAAAGTTATAAGTGCTAAACAAATCATCTGTGACTCCGTGCCTCACATCTGCGGAAAACACGCCACTATCTTAATATATACAAATCATCCTTAGATAGTGCGATTATATCTCTGGAAAACAAACTAGTGGTGCCCTTTCATCGTGGCAAGTTGTCTTCGAGTTCACTGTAGGAATGTAGCTAACAATGTCCAAACTTCGTAAAATAATAATAATATGTATAGATAGATACAAGAGATAGAAAGATAATTGTGTAACCAAAGTAAGGTAGTGTCGTTTAGTTTGTTTGTTTTAGCTCAAAGCCTCATAATAAGCTGTCTACGCTTTGTCTACCACGGGGAATCGAGCCCTCGATTTTAGCGTTGTAAGTCCGTAAGTTTACCGCTGATCCACTGAGGAACAAGTCATAGGAAAATGCATTAGAATTAAGTCTTTTTTTTTTATCTTGATAAGATGTCACAGCATTTTTCGAGGAAGTATATCCCTATAGCGATATTGTTAAAAATGTAAGTTCAAATGATACCATCTTAAGAAGAAGAAAGTCTTCAATGTTCTTCATGGAAGTAAAAGCTCGCAAAGTATAGCATTTAAAACAACAACAGGCTCCGACACCGCATCGAAACAGATTAAGGATATTATTGCGAAAGAGAACCTTCTGATAAAAAAAATCTATTGAGATTACAGTTGATATATTTTCTAACACCATTAAGAAGATAATAAAGAAATATTTAAATTTGATGAATATTCACGAGTTTCCAGCTATACCTCCAAATCAATTGCCGTTTTAATGAGATGGACGACCAAAGAAACTGGAATCACGACAATACCGTTCGATCACGTACCTTTCAAATCCTTCAATACAACTCAAATAAATTTTCGTGTTTTTGGTTTGCTGAAACGAATTGTTTGAGGTCGACGTTTGCGCACAGTGGAGGGTCCGTGAAAAGTTTCTCAAGATGTGGTGTCTAAATAAGGTCAATTCTTGCCGTTCTCCTCAGAAAGTTGTTATAATGGAATATGCATAGTCAGGCTATAGTGCACAATCATGTCCATCAGATAAAGCACGATCATCGATTGAGAAAATAAATCAAAGACAGATTTGGTAATACTTATCGATGTCACGATATATGTTTTTATAATTTCTACTGCCTTCAGAATAACGTTATGAGCAATAAGTTCTGAAATCGATAGAAATGTAAAATAAACTCTACATTATAAACATTAGACTGTACGATTTAACCTAAACACTTTTATACATTTTGTTTAATAAGTCTCTTCTATAATATTAAAAAATATTTTTGGTATATCCTAAATATATATATGTATCTAAATATATACATATTTATAGCGAGAGAGAAATAAATCACCGTAATAAAGATTCAGTGAGTATTAATATTTGCAGTTTTAAATCTCAACAGCAGGTCAGAGGTCCTTTTGGATCCAAATATTATTGTACCGACTGACCAGATCAAAACATTAACCAATAGGCAGTACCTGACTTTCAAGCGTTAAGATAATAAAAACTGGAAAACACTTTAACTATAGTTTACATTCTATTTTTTATATCATAGCTTTTTAGACAAACAAAATCAAGGCTTGGATAACACTTGTACTCAGTTTTTAAACTAGGATAGTAAACAGTGATAATTATTAATATATTCAAAATTTCTGAATATATATATATATCTTCAACTTCATTTTGGTTCTTCACGTAATTA